ACTGACTGGGAGGAGGTAGTGTGGAGGTGAATCCAATCCACTGTAAGTGCCCAGCTGGGAAATTAACTCTTGAAAAATGTGTCCTAGGGAAAGTAAGGGTATGTCTACACTGCGCGCTTATTTCAAAATTTATTTTGGAATTTATTTTCCGAAATAGCTTATTTCGAAATAGCACGTCTACACACACAGACCGCGTAGAAATAGCACTTAGCTATTTTGAAATAGAGTGTCCACACTGATTGGTTGCTAAATCGCATTTAAGGCCTCCCGGAACCACTTCAGGCTGGGCATCGGGTCAGCATTTATTTCTTGGAGATGCTGCCTGAGGATATCTGAGCCTCATGCTTCAAGAGACCCCCCTGTACAGCCATTTTTCAGGTTCTTCTCCTGCTTGCCTACCTCTGTAAGGGAAAGCAAAGCATATTCACTGTGTGCTTTGGTTGCCCTGTTGGACACCACAGCACTCCCTGTTATGGAGCTGGAGCTGCCTCTGGGTACATGATGGCCCCTGTCCGTCATGCTGCAGTTTCTGCAGGCTGCCCTCCTGGCCTTGCAGGAACGCAACCCCCAGCTCATTGAAGAGACCCTCACCATCTGTCTAAAAGCACAGCTCTTCCAGCTGCACCCCACTGCGCACCCCTGTTTCTGGAAGCTGGACACCAGTTCTGACTGGTGGGACTGGCTCATTATGGAGAGGTGGGACAACTAGCAATGCCTCCAGAACTTTCGAATAAGGAGGAGACCTTTCTGGAGTTGTGTGCCTGGCTTGCCCATGCACCCAGCTGAAAGGAGGAGGAGGGGTGAGGAAAGGCTCAAGGCTGGGGCTGGGAGTGGTGCCTGGTTCGGATGGTTCCACCGCCCCATGTGTGGGGATCTCAGCAACCTTGGGGCGGGGAGGCAAGAGGGAAAAGCAGTAGGGGCTGGAAAAGGGGCTGGCATGAGAGAAGGGGCAGGGGTTGGCATGGGAGGTGGGGCAGGATCAGGAATGGGAGGAGGGGCAGGACATGGGGCTGGGGCAGGAGCAGAAGGAAGCGATGGCTCCAGGTGAGCGAGGAGAGACTTCACGGTTGTGAACATGGTGCGGCCCAGCTTCAGTGACTCCGTCCAGGTCTCTGTCTGCATCCCCCCTGCATGTCCTCTGGTCCACCATCTCATACAGGGCCCGGAGCACAGAGATGTGCTCCCGCAGCAGATCCTCCTGCGTTCTCTTGTGCCTGCAGCTCCCCTGGTATCAGGTAGCTGCCTCGGGGGGTATAACCCAGCCTCCTGTCACAGCTGGTCCAGCTGTGGACAGTAAAGAGAGACAGTCAGTCATCCCTGGAGATACTGCCCCAGAAGCCTTGCCCTCCTCATCTGTGAGCCAAGAGCGACAGTTCTCGAGTCAGATGGTAATGCCCTGGGAGCAGATCTTGGCAAGTCACTTAGGGTGAGTCTACACAGCACTGTTATTTCAAAATAACAAAGCGAGTGTCTGCACAGCAATTCCATTACTTTGAAATAACAGATGTCTCATTCAGAAATCTGTAACCCTCATTCCATGAGGGATAACACCCATTTTGAAATAGCTATTTCAAAATAGGGCATGTGGATGTGGCAGCTATAATGATTTTGAAATAAGGGGCCTCCAGGAAATCCCACAGGTGCCCTGCTGGCCACTTCATCCACACTCCTCAGGACTTTATAGATCCTCTTCCCCTGCAGCCCTTAAAAGCTGCAGCCCCAGGGGAAAAGGCTTGTGATGGGAAACTGGCCCTGACAACCTCCAGCTACGCTGCAGCTGCCACAGCATGTCTTTGGGTCATCATGACCAACCCTCGAGCCCCCCGAGAGCCCTCCCCTGCTCTCAGGGAGCAGTCTGATGGCTCCCAGGAGCCTGCCAGGCTCTGAAAGAGTCATGCACCATCCTGGTCTGGGGCAGAGATCCTGGCTCTCATTGTGGTGTGGGGCGAGGAGGAAAGTCTCCAGGATCTCTGCTCCAGACAGCACAAAACAGATATCTACGGTCGCACGGCTGATAGCCTGACCACAAAGGGCCACGTTTGGAACCAAGAACAGGTCCGAATACAAGTGAGGGAGCTCTGCCAGGCCTTCGCCAGGGTGAGGGAGCACAGCTCCCATGCTGGGGCAGAGCCACACTCCTGTCCTTATTACATAGGCCTGCACTACTTCCTGGGAGGCGGTGCAGCATGCTACTGATATACACCAGCTGAGCATCTGGCTTGCTGCCCAACAAAAATATAAGGTCTGCACCCCCTTAAAAGAGCTTATTGCAATTTCAGCTCTCCTGGAGGGGCAGAGAAACGGATCTAGAAGCCAGTGCACGTAGTGCGTATAAAGAGTTGTTTGAAGTGCTGCCTTTTCCCTTGTACCTGAGACACACCATCAAATCAACTCCCAAAAAGTGGCACTAGAGATCTAATATACATGTCAGGGCTGATTCTGGTCTCACTTACTCCACAGAATAGCTGAATTAATTCTAATGAAGTCAATGCTGCTGTCCCTTGTGAAAAAGAGATGGGAGATTAGCAGCAAGCCCTGTATTTTGTCTTTATGTGACCAATGCAAGCAGGAAGCAACTCAACAGCAAAGGTAGAAAAGATCGGCTTTGCTTGCATTTTTATACATAACAATAGTTATTTTCCTATACTTCCCATGAAGCCTGGACTTTAAAACCAAAGTAAAAGATCACATGAAGGGCTTTCATACATAATTTACTTTACATCTGACCTCAGTCATAAAGCTGCAAGTGTGGTGTCTGCCTGTTCTGCTTCTAAAAGCTCTGCAAGAGCTAGAACTGAATTTCAAAGAAAAATATTGTAGCAATTTTTTCTGTGAGGTTGGATGAGGCTCAAGAGTTCAGAAAGATGTGGCTTAGGCCCTGGCCCATCAAATACCATTAGTGGTGCCTGGAAATTCTCCCTCCTCCACCAGGAATAGATAGGAATAGATAGGCTAATGAAAAAAATGGCCTTGTGGTTAAGGCACTGGAGTTTGATGCTTGAGCTCTGGGTTTGATGCCCATCTTTAACACTGACTATTAGAGCAGAAAAGAGTTTCTAGAACCCCACTCAGGCTATGTCTAGACTGGCATTTTCTGGAAATGCTTTTAACAGAAAAGTTTTCCGTTAAAAGCATTTTTGGAAAAGAGCGTCTAGATTGGCATGGACGCTTTTCCGCAAAAGCACTTTTTGCGGAAAAGCATCCATGGCCAATCTAGACGCGCTTTTGCGCAAAACAAATCTCAGCTGTCTACACGGCCCTTTTGCGCAAAAGGGACTTTTGCCCGAACGGGAGTAGCATAGTATTTCCACAAAAAGAACTGATTTCTTACAGTAGGAAGTCAGTGCTTTTGTGGAAATTCAAGTGGCCAGTGTAGACAGCTGGCAAGTTTTTCCAGAAAAGTGGCTGATTTTCCAGAAAAACTGGCCAGTCTAGACACAGCCTCATAGTCTAAGGAACCATCTCTCATCTACCCATAAAGAAAGAGTGGGTGGGCGTAATCTCCCCCTGGACGAGTTGCAATCCATCTGGGCCTCCCATCCCCAGATTGAGAACTCATATACAAAAGCACTGGGCCACATTCTCTTCCAAATTACAATGGTACAGTGGTTCTCAGCCTTTCCAGACTACTGTACCCCCTGTAGGAGTTTGATTTATCGTGGAACCCTCTGCAACCCACAGGTTTAGAAACACTGATCTAAGTTAGTTAAGTACCCCTGGAAGACCTCTGAGTACCCCCAGAGGCTCACATACCCCTGGTTGAGAACCACTGCACTAGTGCAACCTTAAGTGACTTCAACAGAATTGGAGGAGAGAAACTGAGTGGACAATTAAGCCTGATAAGTAGAATACAAATTTTAACCCCAGTTCCACAGGGCAGTCAAAGGACAGAAGGGCATCAGCTTCTTTTGGACCTTGTTGCACCAGTGTCTTCAATAACAGGCCTTCTATCCAGGCCATATTGCAAATAACTCACTGCATCTATGTTGGTTGGGCTGCATTAACCCTACCAAAATGGAAGCTGTAAGCATTTCAGAGCTGGGACTGCTAAGCCAGATCTTTTTGCTGGAGTCTCTCCTCCAAGCTCCTGTATAATCATTAGGATCCTGTCAACATTAACACAGGAGAAATAGCTGCACTCCATCTTTTCTCACACTATTAGGCCTTTGATTACCTTCCTCTCCCGCCTCCTACCCTTTCATTTCTCAGATTCAATATTGCCTCTAGGCACTCAGACACAAAAGGAAATAATTAACATAAAAACAAAGAAAGAAAAAACTGCTGAACTATATGTAATTATTATGGAGAAATGCTAAAACACCAGAAAGGCAAATTGCCTTCAACGTATATTCAGCATTAGTAGCAACAATATATAGCCTAGAGGTAGGCTTGAACTGCAAAACTTCTACCCCAATTTTGGACCTTTCTAAATTTGTGGGGTGCTTAATTCTTAAATTTCAAGAAAGATGTGGAGAAATTGGAAAGGGTACAGAGAAGAGCGACAAGAATGATTAAAGGTTTAGAGAACATGACCTATGAAGCCAGGCTTCATGAACTGGGCTTGTTTAGTTTGGAAAAAAGAAGATTAAGGGGGGACATGATAGCGGTTTTCAAATATCTAAAAGGGTGTCACAAGGAGGAAGGAGAAAATTTGTTCCTCTTGGTTTCTGAGGACAGGACAAGGAGTAATGGGCTTAAAGTGCAGCAGGGGAGGTTTAGATTGGACATTAGGAAAAAATTCCTAACTGTCAGGGTGGTCAAACATTGGAATAAATTGCCAAGGGAGGTGGTAGAATCTCCCTCTCTGGAGATATTTAAGAACAGGTTAGATAGACATCTGTCAGGGATGGTGTAGACGGAGCGTGGTCCTGCCTTGAGGGCGGGGGGCTGGACTCGATGACCTCTCAAGGTCCCTTCCAGTCCTATTATTCTATGATTCTATGATTTTGAAAAAGGGTTTTGTAAATCCATGCTTCATTTACATTCTCGATTGGGCTCATTTACATTCCTCTTTTGGAAGAGGAATGTAATTTAGACGTGCCCTAAGATTTCAAATGTCTTTTTCTTTTTTCTTTTTTTCTGACCACAGAATATAGAGTTATGACACGCATGTCTCAATTTCTCAGTTATGAGGTCATATTATTATATGTATCTGTTACTATAGTAATATTCATCACACCAAGCAAATGAAAATCATTCCAAGAATTTTCCAAATGCCCACAGAAGCAGTAGCAGTCATCTAGAATCATTTTCAGTAAAGCTTCCAAAATGTATTCTGTTATTTGCTGAAACCAAAATAAGTCTTCAAAACGCAGTATCTCCATTTGGATGGATGACTCTTGTGGGGGAGAAGAAAATAGGTGCAGAAATTTGCATTTTGTTTGTGTGACCCAGGGCACAAAGTAGCCAGAGACATCTGGAGCTGGGGACACCAAATAGTTAGAAATATCTAGATCAGAACCACCACCTGGGGTTGCACCTTAGGAAAGTGGTTCACAGGTGGGATGTGATTGATGTGACAAGTTTCTCTGTGTAGTTTCTCAGTGGCTTTCTGTTCCAGCTGAAGTTTTCAAATGGCTTTTCTGGTGTAGCATCAGGCAGAATGTATTGCCATGATCCAACCCTTGTCATAATCTATGCAGTCACAAAGGCAGGGATATAATCACAAAATAACATTGAAATATAGCTGCAGATGATAGAAGGAATCAGATGCAGCTATGCAGCACCAGCCTTATATGTTGGAGCTAGGAGTAATGGGATGGGAGTAATGGGGAAGGAAGAGTAACCCCCAGTCCCTGAACAATATTATCTGGGAGAAAATTCCTTCCTACGTCCAAATTTGGTGATCATTTCAACCCTGTCTGTACATGTCCACAAGAATCATCTCAGTGGAGATCTCATCTCTTTCACACCCTGAGGTATCATCAGTGCTGCAGAAATTGAGGGATGAGTTTCTTGAAGCCCTACAAGATGGATTCTTCAAATTTCTTCTGCAAATTTTTTTCTTTCCCTCTACATGAAAAAAAGAAAAACACATTGTAAATACCTTTACTCTAGTAAAACTTTTTTAAAAAAAGTTTGAGTGCCCGTTTGTTTCATTGTTACTGTTACCTCATATGATCACCATTGAAGTAAAACAAATGCTTCACTCCATCCTTATTGAGCTGTTTGGTAGAGGCACCATCTTTTTTCCTGAATATATACAGCACCTAGCACAATGGGATCTTGGTCCAAGACAGGGACCTCGAAGCACTACCAAAATGAGAACAAAAATACTACTACTGCTACTACCCAAAAGCATTGACTTTACTGGGACCAAGCATACACTTAAGACCTTGCAGAATTATAACCATAACTTCTTTCTCTGACACTCATCCTTGTTATTCCCACATATGGAATTGCGCATTTAAAATACACACTCGGACCTCTTGGGAGTTTTGTTTTGTAATTTGGAACGTCTGGATGCAGCCACACAGCTAAAAATATGCTGTGGAAATTAGTCTCGGAGCCTGGGTCAACTAACTCAGGCTTGCAGGACTCACACTACCGGGCTAAACATAGCAGTGTAGACATCTCTGCTCCGGATTGTGCCCGGAGTCTGAAGTCCAGTGAGAGGGAAGCTTTTTATAGCACTGGTGGGCAAGCCCAGGTTCTGAGGCACGCTTCTATATGAGTTTGTTGTTTTGCAATGTAGATGCACACTGTCACTTTTCTACAGGGTTGAGAAATGAAACATGGCAGTGTCTGTGCTCTTTATCTGACCATCTGAGTTTCTTTGTACCCTATATCAGCCCAGATTTTCAGACTGTGTGGCTAAGCAATGGCATGCAGTTATTGCAATAATGCACACAAAACAGGCCAGTTACATTATGGAATGGCTAATTTTGGTAAGGAATGGCTAATTTTAACCATATATGCACGGAATTGCCTATAATGCAGAGGTGAAAGTAAGGGGATGCTCCCTGGTGCACAGCTCTGGCAAGAACTGGCTGAGCTGTGGCAAAAGCCAGCAGGGAGCTATTTAAAGAGCTGGCAGGGACCCAGGTTGTGAGAGGATGGTAATTGTAAGAAATGTAAGTTTTTTCAGCCCTGCCGAAATGTATGAGCAATCAACGACTTTGCATGAACAAATTGGACTCCCATTGCTCGTCTGAATTTCCTGAATATCTAAAACTCAGGGGACAGCGATGCATGCTAATTAGCAATGGTGCTAATTAACAGAAGATGGAGAATTAGGTCCCAGACCAGCTCAATCAAACAACTCACCGGCATAACTTTAAATTATAGAATCCTAGGGCTGGAAGAGACCTCAGGAGTCATCGAGTCCAGCCCCCTGCCCAAAGCAGGACCAACCCTAACTAAATCATCCCAGCCAGGGCTTTGTCAAGCCAGGACTTAAAAACCTCTAGGGATGGAGATTCTACCACCTCCCTAGGTAACCCATTCCGGTGCTTCACCACCCTCCTAGTGAAATAGTTTTTCCTAATATCCAACCTAGACCTCCCCCACTGTAACTTGAGACCATTGCTCCTTGTTCTGCATCCATCACTATTGAGAACAGCCTCTCTCCATCTTCTTTGGAACTTCCCTTCAGGAAGGCTGGTATCAAATTCCCTCAGTCTTCTCTTCTGCAGACTAAATAAGCCCAAATCCCTCAGCCTCTCCTTGTAGGTCATGTGCTCCAGGTCTCTAATCATTTTGCCCTCAACTTGTCCCTCTCCAATGCGTCCACATCCTTTCTATAGTGTGGGGTCCAGAACTCGATGCAATATACCAGCTATGGCCTCACCAATGCTGAATAAAGGGGAATAATAATTTATCTTGGCTCTAGATCTGCTAGCAATGCTCATCCTAATGTACCGTAATATGCCATTAGCCTTCTTGGCTACAAGGGCATACTGTTGACTCATATTCAGCTTCTCATCCACTGTAATCCCCATGTCCTGTTCTACAAAACTGCTGCAGTCCCCAGCATGTAACAGTGCTTTAGATTCTTCTATCCCAAGTGCAGAACTCTGCACTTGACCTTGTTCTTCCTCATCAGATTTCTTTTGGCCCAATCCTCCAATTTGTCTATATCACTCTGGACTCTCTCCCTATCCACCTCTCCCCCTACCTTAGTGTCATCTGCAAACAACCCTCAGAGTGCAATCCATCCCCTCATCCAGGTCATTAATAAAGATGTTGAACAAAACTGGCCCTAAAACTGATCCTTGGGGCACTCCACTTGAAACCAGTTGCCAACCAGACATCAAGCCATTGATCACCAACTGCTGGGACCAACAATTTAGCCAGCTTTCTATCCACCGTACAGTCCATTTATACAATCCATACTTCCTTAACTTGCTGGCTAGAATGCTATGGGAGACTGTATCAAAAGCTTTGCTAAAGTCAAAGTGTATCACATCCACCAACTGCTCAATGTCCACAGAGCCAGTTACCTTATCATAGAAGCTAATCAGATTGGTCAGACATGACTTGCCCTTAGTGAATCCATGTTGACTATTCCTGATCACTTTCCTCTCTTCCAAGTGCCTCAAAATGGATTCCTTGAGGATCCCCTCTATGATTTTTCCGGGGCTGAGGTGAGGCTGACCAGTGTACAGTTTCCTGGATTATCCTTCTTCCCTTTTTTAAAGATGGGCACTACATTTGCCTTTTTCCAATCATCTGGGACCTCTCTCAATCTCCACGAATTTTCAAAGATAACGGCCATGTGTAAGTATGTGATAATGTATGTGTAAGTCTTTGCAGGCTTTAGCATTTTACTATCTTATCACATATGGGATTGGCACGATCTTGGCCACATGTCAAGGTTTGAATCATGAACCTCTAGAACTAGAGGCAAGTATTGCTACAGCTTGAGATAAAAAGTCAGGTTGCATAAGTGGAGAAGGATTTGAAATGTAGCCTCACCAGTGGTTTACATATACTTATCCAGTGCCAGCTAAAATACAAAATTAATTGTTGACAAACACATCAGCGTCAACGTAGCATTAATAATGGGGCAGATCATCTCTGAACATCCATGTTGTTTTAGAGATGTCATATTAGACAGCAAGTAACAGTGTTTGTAAACTTCAAAGCCTCCTATATGCAGTGCTACCCCTTCAAAAGAATATTTCTGTGTCAATCATGCTGCAGCTTCGGGGAACTACAAGAAAGTTTTAACATATTCATTAATTAGTGCTTAGTTTTATTTGAAAAATGCATCCTTCACAATATGTCATGTTAATATGCCATAGCATTGTGAGCATTATTGTTTTTATGCTTATTAGGCATATCCTGCTAGAAGAAAGCATTTTAAATTAGATAAAATCTTATACATGTTTAATGTGGTGTTCTCACAATTTAAAATGCTACTCTATTAAAATAGCAGGGAGGGGAAAATTGACTCAGAGCAAGGATGTGAAAAGAATAGACCATGAGTGAAATGAATAATAGATTAACTGAATAATCATATTGCTTCTGATATGAAGAGTATAAATTACAATAATTCTGTGCTGTCAGCAGAAACAGAGAGGAAAGATTTTCTAGAGCAAAACTATGTTCAGTATCTAATAATAATTATATTTTAAGAGCTAAATATCATAAGTAATAAGTGGTCAGTATTAATGAGACATTCTGTAGACGGTGATGGTGCTCATTCATTCACAATGCATCCATAATCTACTATGTATTTGAGACTTTGTGGCTATGTCTACAGTGCATCCCTCTTGTGCAAAAGCCTATGCAAATGAAGCACAGATTAGCATATTGCCACCCTTCATTTGCATATAATTCTGGAAGAATGGCTCTTGCACAAGAGAGGGTTTTTGCACAAACAGGAGCTGTGTAGATGGCTCCTTTTTGCGCAAAAGCCTCATGTGCAAAAACGGCCCCTAATTAATTATGCAAATGAAGCACAGCAATATGCTAATCTGTGCTTCATTTGCATAGGCTTTTGTGCAAAAGGGATGCAGTGTAGACATAGTCTTTCTGGCTGTGAGTGTGTCTTTCTGTCTGTCTGTTTGTTCAAGAACTCCTCGTAAACAGTAAGAGCTAGAACCACCACATTTGGTACACAGCTTTCTTTTATCATATCTTAAAACAAGGTCAGGGTTTGGTTGTAGCAGGAAAATGGGATGTGCCTAGAGTGGGATTGCTTCTCAAAAAACCACACATATAGGACACAGAATCTCCAGGCAGGTGAAAGGGGCTGGCTGGGGGTACACTCCCCCATCCAGGACTGCCCAAGCCCCAACTCTCCCACTCTCCGGGAGCCTTTTAGGGAGGGTGGGGGGCTGAAGCTCCCCCCAGTGTTCATATGCGAACATTGCTGGATGTTCCCCTTCATCAGAAAGCAGGGGGAAGGTGCACAGTTTGGGGAGCACACCAGGAAGACAAACCTGGACCTGCCCTAGCTCGGAGATATGAACCCCTGCCCCCAGCTGTTCCAACTGGAGTTGCAGCAGCCACAGAGAGGCGTTTCTCACCTGACCCTAAGCTGCTGCAGTGAGAGTGGGCTGGAGTTGTCTTCTCTCCCCAGGGCAGCCTGCATACTGAACCCCTCATCTCTAGCCCCACCATTTTATTTTCCAAAAAACAAAAATGTATTGAGTTAAGGACCCAAGCATCACCAGGAAATCGTCTAATACTGCTATAAAGAAGAGACTTTTTAAAGCTAAGGATGAGACTAGAATTACTTCCCATTATGAAGTCTTAACTCTGCGCCCTTAGCAACCCCCTCGAAAGAACCACAAGTTTGGTTGCTTGCTTATCTAGTCATAGCAACCCATTTTATCACACCAATGACAGCATAAACTAGAAAGCCTCATCTTTCAGTGCAATCAGGAAATAGTGGTACCAGCCAAGGCCTTCTTCATAGGCATGCAGGCTACAAAAATAGACAAACATTACAGATCCCAAGAGCCAGACCCACACTTCACTGAGGGCCTGATTCAAAGCCCTCTGACATCCATGGAAAGGCTCCTGTTGACTTCAGTGGGATTTGAGTCAGGCTATCAGATTCGACATGCATCAAGACAGAAGACACAATGGTCATTACTATATATCAGAGCATTTACACACACGCACCACTACCCAGAGGCACATAGCACAGGCTATTGTGCTAATTAGATGAAACCATCCAAAAATAGCATGGTGGTGAAGCACCGTACTTAGCACTGGTTATTGATTTCATATATTTGTGTCTTAAGTACTGTATGATGCACATGTTCAGTATACACCACCTTCACATGCAGCTATGAATGCAGCCCTCTTTAAATGTGCAACTGCTTTGGGTCCTTAATGGACTTTAGTGGCTCCCGAGGCAATGCGAGATTGCTGAAGGATCCCCAAAACGCTCCTAAATAAGGGATAAGGGGGTCTGAGATGCAGGGCCTGAAACCAACCAATTCACCAGCAGGGAACTCCACTCCAAGGCTATGTCTACACTGCACACTTATTTTGAAATAAGTTATTTTGGAAAAAAGCCTCTGAAATAGCTTATTTCAAAATAGCGTGTCAACACTACAAATGCCCATCGAAATAGCACTGAGCTATTTCGAAATAGAGGGTCCACACTGATTGGAGCCTGAATCATATTTAAAGCCTCCCGGATGTGCTTTGGGCAAGCATCAGGACAGTAGTCACTTCCTGGAGCTGTTGACTGAGGCGATCTGAAGCTCATGCTTAAAGGTACCCCTTGTACAGTCATGTCTCAGGCTCTTCTGCATTGCCTACCTCCTTGAGGGACAGCAAACTCTTCTCACTACCTGCTCTGGTTGCCCTTGTGGACATCACAGAACTCCAGAAATAGAGCTGGACCTGCTGGAAAGCAGTCGTCAGCTCTTGGACCTCATACTGCACCTCCTGGTGCAGTTACTGCGTGGTGGCCGCATGGCTCTGGAGAAATAGGACCCACCACTCCCTGCGGGGCACCTCCTCTTCTCTCTCCACGTGTTGCTCATGAAGCATAGCCCCTCCCGTCCTCCCCTGCACAACATGTCACCACTGCTTCTGGCAACGGGACACCAGTTCCAACTGGTGGGACCGCATCATCATGGAGCAGTGGGACAACCTGCAGTGGCTCCAGGTCTTCTGCATGAAGAAGGACACCCTCATAGAGCTCTGCAAGTGACTTGCTCCTGCCTTCAGGCAGCAGGACACCCACATGAGGTCCACCATCCCTCTCCAGAAACGGGTCACCATCGCTATTTGGAAACTCACCAAACCGAACAGCTACCACTCCATCGGGAATCAGTTCAGCATGGGGAGATCGACCATCAGGATCATGGTCATGCATGTATGGCACTCTCATGCTATTGTCCCAGGAAGGCAGTGAACTGCTGGAATGGAACTCCTTAGGTAAAGGGGTATGTGGAAACTCCCTCCCTGGAAGGTTTTTCAGTTCCACCTTCATAAAGCCCTGCCAGGGAATGGGGTAAGTTGGGGGGTTGGTCCTGGTGAGTGGGAAAGGGGCTTGAGCTTAGGGGACTCCCAAGGTCCTTGGTAACCCTGTGATTCTCTGCTTGTGTCCTTTTACAGGGTCGTCATCCTGGACGATGTGGACCCCATTGTCGCCAGCTTTGCTGCCATGGGCTTCCCCAACTGCGGGGGGACCATTGATGGCACCCATATCCCCATCCGGGCCTCCCGACCACCGGGCATCGGATTACATCAGCAGTACTTTTCCATGGTCCTGCAGGCCCTTGTGGACCACCGAGCTGATCAACATTAACATTGGGTAGTTGGGAAAGGCGCACGATGCCCACATCTTTAGGAACTCCAGTCTGTTCCAGAAGATGCATGCCGGTACTTTTTTCCCTGACCACACCATCTAGGTCGGGGATGTGGACATGCCAATGTGCATTGTGGGTTATGCAGACAACCCTTCGTTCCCCTGGCTAATGAAGCCCTACACCAGCTACCTTGACTCCACCAAGGAACGTTTTAACACCAGGCTCAGCAGGTCCTGCACTGTTGTGGAGGGTGCCTTTGGCTGTCTCAAAGGAGGTTCTGCTATCTCCTTACCTGGTGAGATCTGAGTGAGCGGAACATCCCCCAGGAGGGTCAGCCTGCTGTGTTCTGCACAGCCTGTGCGAAAATAAGGGGGAGATGTTTCTGCCAGGGTGAGGGACAGAGGCCGAGTGGCTGGCCAGGGTCTTTGAACAGCTGCACACAGCTGCCATCCAGCAGGCCCATCAGGAGGCTGTGCGCATCCAGGAGGCCCTGCGGGAGAGTTTCAGACAAGGACACCTGTGACTCTCTCTCCTAGGTCTTCCCACAAGAGGCCTCTGCAGTGCCCTTCTGTGCCTTTCCTCCCACACCCCTCCCTTCCCCTGCCCTCCATTCCCCCATTCTTTCCCTCTCCCCTGCTGATAAAATAAACACCTTTTGTTTTGGAACAAGAAAGTCTGTTCTTTTTTAAATTTGGGGTAAATATAACTGGGGAAAGAACCTGGGAGGGGGAAGGATGGAAGGAGGTAGAAGGGGGGGAGGAGAGGCTCAGGAATGGGGTTGGGACTGACACCTGCCTTGGGCGGTCCCACCGCCTTGTGTGCAGGGCCCTCGGTGGCTACGGGGTGCAGGGCTAGCAGGAGAAGCCAGAGGGCAGGGGCAGGGGCAGAGGCAGGGGCAGGAGCTGGAGCAGGAGCAAGAGTAGGAGTGGGAGTAGGTGGTCTTGGGAAGAAGCAGGTGCGGGGGGAAAGAGGCTACTGGATCACTCAGTCGTAGCGACCAAGTGACTGGCAGCGGTGCTATATGCCACGTACATGCTCCGGGCCTCCTGGTACAGCTCCCGCCAGGTGGTTCCCATCAGCACGGCGCTGCTCTAAGTCTGGATCCAACCACTGCTCCTGCCTGTCCAGAGACTGCTGGAGGGAACGGAGGCAGCCGATGTGTTCCCGCTGGAAGTCCTCGCGGGGGCGGCAGCACTTGTGATTCTTGGGGGGTCAGGAGGCTGGTGTGGGAGATGAGGCTCGCACCTCACTCGCCGCTGGTCCAAAGAACAAAGGGAAGGGCAGTCATCCCAGGAGACACAGTGTATTAAGCCCAGCCCTCATCTCTGAGCCGACACCGAAAGGTCTCAGGTCAGACAAAGGCGATGTGCTTTGAGCGAGGCCTTCTGAGGCCTAGATAACAGGCCCTTTCCTGCAGGGGCACAGCTGTCCCAGGGGAAGCCTCACTATGCCCTTGTCCTGGAGACTCATAGACTCATAGACTCATAGACTCCAAGGTCAGAAGGGACCATTATGATCATCTAGTCTGACCCCCTGCACAGTGCAGGCCACAAAATCTCACCCACCCCTCCTAGAATAATCCTCTCACCTATATCTCAGATATTGAAGCCTTCAAATACTTTGAAGACCCCAAGATGCAGAGATCCTCTAGCTGTGATCTGTACCCCATGCTACAGAGGAAGGCGAAAAACCTCCAGGGCCTCTGCCAAGCAGGCATGGGAAGGTGCCGGCCAGGCTGGGAGCCTACAGGCTCGAGTAGGGCGACAGTGCGGCTTGGCTTCTCTCCATGCCACGCACAAGCCAGACTTTATCCCTGTTCTCTGGAGGGTGGGGGGGCGAGGGCGTTGGGGGAGGTGTTGGTGAGCAGCAGACACTGCTTGCTGGAGAGGGTGCTACTGGGATCCCCTCCACTTCCTCTCCTTTCCAGGAGGCTCCCCTGTCTGGGGACTGGTGTCCTTCGCCTCACCACGCTGCCCCAGTAGTGGATGCTGCCCCGAGAGTGTGGGCATGCCCATATGCTGTGTTCAGCACTGCTGCATGTATGTCCCTGACCCCAGCCTCCTTTGCTGTGGCTTGTGGTGGGCAGGTGTCGCACCAGGGGGTTGGAAGTAAGGCAGGCCTGTGCAGGAACCCTGTGAGCAGAAACACAGGGTTACTGTGTGGCAGCCTCATTGTAGCTGTGTGCTCTGGACTGGCATTCCATGTGCACCATGTGCACAGGCTGCGGTGCGATCCTCAGGCCGAGAAGGTCGAGCAAGGAATGCGCAGTCACTTGCTGCCCGCCGCTTCCCCCTGTGCACCTCTTCCTCCTCCCGCACCTCCTCCGCCTCCCCAGCCACGCCCTCCGGGAGGCTGATGACAGGCATCTCCTGCCCAGAGTCCACATTAAAAGGGGGAAGTGACTGACCCCCCTCCCAGGATGCAGTGGAGCTGGTTGAAATACTGGAAAGTCTGGGGTGCTGCCCCAGAGTAGGAGCTGCACTCCCTGACCTTGGTATAGGCCTGCCTCAGCTCCTTCACCTTCACCCTGACCTGCTCCTGGGTGTGGCTGTGAACTGTCTGATCCAAGCTGTCAGCCATCCAGCTATAGATGTCAGCATTCCTGTGACTGGGGTGGAGATCCTGGAGGTTTGCTCCCTCTCCCCAGATCTCAGTGAGATCCAGGATCTCTGCACCAGACCAGGATGGTGCCCTCCACGTTCGCCACTGGGCAGGGGCTGCAGAGGTGGCTGCCAGCTCCCTAGCAGCCATGGAGGTCTTCGTGGGAGCACAGGGGTCACTAAAGGAGGTGTGGAAGGCAGAGCAGGCTGTTGGTGTGTGGCACAGGCCTAGTAGGGCTTTCCTTGTCCCCTGAGGCTGCACCTTTAAAGGCTGCAGGGGAAGGGGAACTATAGAGTTCTGATGAGTGCAGACAGAGTGGCTACCAGGGCACCTATGAGAATCCCTGGAGGCCAGTTATTTCAAAATAACCGCCGCTGAGCTCTCTATACACCCCCTATTTCGAAATAACTATTCCTCGTGAAATCAGGGTTACAGAATTTGGAATAAGAAGCCCGTTATTTTGAAATTATTTGAAAATAACAGGCTTCCTGTGTAGATGCTCGCGTTGTTATTTTGAAATAACACTGCTGTGTAGACATGCCCCAAGGGAGCTGTCTGTAGGCCAATTGCAGTTGGTTTCTAGCCCCCTTAGAACCCATCCTCCTTCAGCTCCCCAAACCCTGTCCTCAGGCAACCCAGCAGAGCTGGATCTAATTATAGAATATGGCCCAGATGCAACCGAACTAGCAACATTACCTGATAAACACACACAAATAAGTAATTTGCGGGAAGGCTTGCGTGGCGCGATGAACTTCACCATTCCAGAACTACCAGGCCATTAGCAGATAAAACTCACAATGGACAAAAACAACATTTACAGCAGTCACTGGTGTACATGAAAACAGGAGCTATTGTCTGTTAGCCAGAAAATAACTTTTGTTAAAAGTTTCTGGACTGGGCCCTGCTGACATTTATTTGAAGGAAGAAGAGCAGAAAAAGCAGAAATAGCTAAAAAAGTTTCTGGACTGGGCCCTGCTGACATTTGTTTGAAGGAAGAAGAGAAGAAAAAGCAGAAATAGCTGCTGGCATTAGGAGCTGACTGTCACTGAATTCAGCAGTACAAGGGCTTGCAAACGGTGTGCTGTGTGCTCGCGAGGCATTCTCAGCAGGATGTGTGTAGGTATCTGGGGACGCACATCAGAGAGGGAGGAAGGGACATTGCACAAGTGCCAATTAGAAGACAGCACCAGCAAGACACTTAGGGCCAGATATTGTCCTTTAAGCCCTGGTCATCATCATCTGGGATAGGAAGGGAGAAGAGGAATGGTCTTAGCATAGCAGAACCCTAGCAGGAACGCTCTCGTGCCGTCAGAATCCCTCGGGGCTTGAGTTGAGGCCATGCAGAAGCAGAAACTCTACGACTGCTTGAGCATGCAGCATAGGCACTGGCTTCCTCTGGGTCCAGGGGATGCTCAGGCCTCAGGCCTCCTCCAGGCCCTGCCTCCACCTCAGCCTTTCCCCTCCCTGGCTGTGTCTAGACTACATGCCTCTGTCGGCAGAGGCATGTAGATTAGACAGATCAGCAAAGGCAAATGAAGCCGCGATTTAAATGATCGCGGCTTCATTTACATTTACATGGCTGCCGCGCTGAGCCGACAAACAGCTGATCAGCTGTTTGTCAGCTCAGCTGATCAGCTGTTTGTTGGCTCAGCGCGGCAGCCATGTAAATGTAAATGAAGCCATGATCATTTAAATCGCGGCTTCATTTGCCTTTGCTGAACAAACAAATCTACATGCCTCTGCCGACAGAGGCATATAGTTTAGATGTACCCCCTGAGTCCTCACTCCCAACCCACCTCCTCCTGCTCCCTCCTGTCCCCCTCCCCAAGCATACCCTGTCCTCACCATCACCCCAGAGCCTCCTGCCTGTTGCAAAACAGCTGATTGCAGTGGACACTGAGAGGAAGGGGGAGCAGGTGATCAGTGGGGCTGCTCATGGGGCGGGGAGTGCTGAGCATTCATTATTTTTTTCCCATGGCATGGAGGGTAGCCAGGGCCATGGGCCCCCTTCAGGGAGCTAGTGATAGTGCTACCGAAAAGATTGTGCTCGCTCCTCCATGGGCCCTTTTCTCCCACTTGCACACACGTACTTGGCTTGCCTCCACCTACCTCCCACACAGTATCTTCAGCTCATTGGGTCTTAATCAAGATGGTTTGTTGTTTCTTGAGCCATTTGAAATGAGGCTTGTACTCTATCTGCCGCATGGGGTTAGGGCTTACTCAGCAGCCCTCCTGAACACTGCCCGACATGTTTGTACAAAACAATGTTTCTGTCAATTAAGGGTCAAGGGTTCCGAGCCATCATCTAGACAGGCCAGAAAGGTGGTTCAAAGAATGATTGATCGGGAGGGCAAAGTACACCACAGTTATGTTCCCGCTGAACACTGGTCCTTCAGCTTTGCAGCTTTCCTCATAGCTCACTGTGGACACACACACACAGTGATAGAACAGCACCAACCCTCAGACAAACCAAATTTCTGTCACAGCAGGAAGAGGTTATTTCATAGTGATCGGTACAGCTGTGTCTCTGGAAACCGGCAGTGTAGTACGCGCTGCTTTTTCTGTCAGCGCTATTAGCCTCTCCCAGCAGTGGTTCTTTAGGCTATCATTCCTAACCAAGATAGTCCAAGAGTGGATTTATTTATTGGAGGCACCATTAACCCTACCAAGTCACCACTGCATAAACATACTCCTGGGGTGTATTTAGACTCAGGGTTTTGTCGACAAAAGTGGACTTTTGTAGACAAAACTAAACCTGCGTTTACACTACTGCTGAGTTCTGTCAACATAATGTGGACAGAACTCGGCGGTTTTGTCAGCGGCGGTAAACCTCATTCTATGAGGAATAACGCCTTTTGTCGACTGAGGTCTGTCAACAGAAGGCGTTACTGCATCTACACTGTCCTTTGCGTCTACACTCTCGTGTCGACAAAGCGGTTTGCTGGATGTAGTCCAGACTCTCTTTGTTGACAGAAGCTTTGTCAGACGTACCCCTGATGTTGGAGGACCCTGACCAGCACTGATATCTCCTGAGATAGTGGCCATAGCAGGGTGAGGTTATGTAGACGAGATGGTGCAAGCGTGTTACCCACAAGCATTGGCTGGATGAATTAAGGCAGAGCAGCCCAGGCACTTTCCTAGGATTCATTTAGTGTAGGGACCCAATGTGAGCGCTAGTTGGTTTGCTTCAGTTACTGGGAAAGGAGTC